GATCGTCGAATTCTTATTAACCACATTTCTTATGTTGTGGCAGAATTCTTAGCTCCTGCTCATGTACTTATCTGCTCCAAATGTATGGCACTTGGTCATTTTCAAAAACAATGTTCACAAACCAAAGAAACTTGTCGTACATGCAGCGAAGTTGTCGATGATATGAAGAATCATATATGTTCGAAGATAGAAAAATGTATACATTGTCAATTGAACCACAAATCTAGTTCTCTTAAATGTCCTGTTGTTAAAGCTTATCGTGCAGAACTGACTCGTAAACTATTATATATAAATAATCCACCTGCAGCTACAGTTAATATTAATAATATTATGCAAAATTATGTATACAAGTCGTCGAACTTTACACCGCCTCCTGTTTCTTATGCATCAGCAATTAATTCAACAATTAATTCAACAATTAATCCTATGATTAATCCTATGATGAAAAAACTTGATGAATTAATGAACACTATGTCTGAAATGAAGAACCAACTTATTAGTTTTGAAGCTAAACAAAACACAATCGAACAATTCATTATTGCTAAACAAGAAGGTGATAATCTTATCAAACAAAATTTGGAGGAACTTTCTAAGCATCAATTAAATCTGGAAAAAGAAGTTACTCATTATGGTTTATTTATTGATCGACATGAAAATTTATTTATGAAGTTATCGATACCTATATTTCAAGATGTATTTACATTTATTTCATCTTTGAATCAAGATAAGAAGGGTAATACATTGGATACTGATTTAAAAGGTAAAATAGAGCGTTACCTTATGCAAATGAAGAATGTTCAAGTTAGGAAGAAACTGGAATGATCTTAATCGCGACAATGAATCTAGTTGTTTACCTGCTTTAAAGTGTCTGATTTTCCTGATTCGTTTTGTTAATCTTTGTGGTATGATGTTTTTATCTGTTCCTTTCTACCAGTTTTGATCTCTCACACCTTCATTTTGTCTTTCATGTCGAGTCGTTTATCATATTTTCTATTCTGTGTTTTTTTCTTTCTCTTTCATATTCTCATGTACTGTTAGGATCGATTGATCGCAGTTTTTTGCAAATAAAAAAAAAAAATTACAAACATGTAAAAGATTGACACAAGTGAGAAAAAGCTCATTTAAATATGTTGAGTTATTCTAAATAATACTGATATAATCATACATATTAGTTGCTATTGCAATCCATTCAAGTAGTACTACTACATTGAAAAATAATGGATATTATATACTAATAATAGAGGACAGAATGTTAGTAATGTTAATCTAGTATAGCATACCAAAAAAACCATTTCTATTTTTTTTACATTGAAGTATTCTTATATTCTAATAAAAAATAGTAACTTTTAGTCAATGAAATGACTGATGTTAAATTTTCTGACATCTTTTTCTCTTATTATAAGTGACATTCAGATTGAAAAACTTTATATCGGTTTAAATAGAATACATCAATCGTAGTTGACAAGATTTTGTCTCAATAAGATTTATCAGAAAGCAAGACAGAATACTTACTTGATCAACAGAAAATGAACAGCGTTTCTAAGCGGATGTGTATTTCGAATTAAGATGAGCACCATTATTTTGAATCTAAGTTAATATAGATAAGATTTCCAGCATGCTCAGGAATCTTCTACAACTCTATAATCTTGATAAATTCAATATAAATATAGAGTTCATCCTGAATAAAACAACTAATTTTTTCAAAACAACAAAAGCTTTTATTTAAAAAAATGTTTTTATTTTTGTTTATTCATTTGCTGAACGCGTACATTTCGATCTGATGATAGTTTATTAGTTTTATTAGTTAAGTATCAAATAGCTGTCTGTTTATGGATATATTTTTCCTTTCCAGAAATTTCAATTTTGAAAAATTTGTTTTTATCTTTATCAGCTTTGGTAGAATAAATTCTCATACGTTCATAACCATCTTTAGTTGATTTGGTATTTTCAGTTTCTGTTTCACGATCTTCATCTTCACCTTCACTATCTACATCTAGTGTTGATGAATCATTGTTTGTTTCTTCATCTGATTCACTATCAAAATCAAGATCATCATCGTTCAATATGAAATCTTCATTTATATGAATCATTTTTGCTAAATCATTACGCATACTTAAGCATAAATCATCTAATTTAAATACATGATTCTTTTTCAAAAGTGGTAACATTTCTAATTTTTCCACAAATAATTTTGCATTTTCATATGCATCATAAATAACTTTTTCTATTTTATCTATTGTAATATCATGTAAGTTTACTGTTGTTGATGAAGATGAATTGTTTCGATTATGTTTATGGTGTGTAGGAAATTTAATTGCATTAGAATCAACATTTGATTCTTCAAAATATTTAATTTCATTCAATATGGATATTTTTCTGGTTTTCGCCAGAATTGTTGAATAGTAAAATTGGTCATGGTTGAAAATGGTCCTGTTAATGATCGGACGCTTCGGAACATATTCTCACATGGTTGTGAGCTAAATAGAAATATATTTAATGATTCAATAGGTAGCTTTTTATTTAATACTAATAACAAAATATATGTTAACATATGAGCATTTATTTCAATGGAATAAAATGCAGGAAATGTCATAAAATGATGTTCAATTTTCTTCAAAGTTGGTATTAAGTTTAATCCATATTTTTGTTTTGTGTTAATCATTAGTTTATATTTTAACCATGTTAACCAAAATCTACTAATAAAAACGGTTGACCATGCATAAAATAATCTTGTTAATATATTTGTTGTTTTATCAATATAAGATAGAGTTACATAACGTAAAATAGTTAAATAACAATGTGTTGCATATGAATTTTTATTTTCATTTAACATATCCAAAATGCTTGACGATGATATTTTCAAACATGATGAATAGTTTTGTCTATCTTTCACGTATATGTCAGATAGAACTAACGAGGGAACTTCACCAGGTGATACCCTCCGTTTGACCTCATATTCTGCCCATATGTAGGACTCATATAGTAGATAAAAACCCCAAAAGGGTTCGTGCCATTGCCCTCTTAGTGTTGAGATATTGTGACTATAAGGTACTGAAATATCTTAATGCCGTGGTCCCCCTCAGGGAAGTGCGAACAACTAATGTTGGAATTTTGACCTTAAACTTTGTATACAATGAGGTCTTACTGAGAGTAGTTTAGTGTGAAAGTCTTAGACTTACTCCCTGTTTCTATCCGGCGATACGACTATGAAAATGTAATGTCATCTTCTAGCACTACAAGAGCTAGCATATGATATGCCTTTTTAGATTTATGAGTATTCAGCAAAACTGAAACTCTTACAGGAAACTATTCTCAGTAAGATCTTATTGTATACAAAGTTTCAGGTCAAACTTCCAACATTAGTTTTTCGCACTTCCCTGAGGGGGACAATGGCAGTAAAATATCTCAGTACCTTAGAGTCACAATATCTCAACGCCAAGAGGGCAATGGCACGAACCCTTTTGGGGGTTTCATCTACTATATGAGCCCTACATATGGGCAGAATATGAAGTCAAACGGAGGGTATCACCTGGTGAGGTTCCCTCGTAAGTTGTGTTCAAACTTTGAATAATTATCTATAATATTTTGAAGATCCTTGACTGATACATGATAAGTGCCCATTTCTAATGAAGCAGTTTTTGAAAGTAACCGATTACGCAGTTTTGTTGCAAGATGAATGCCATCTTGGCAATAAAAAAATAATTGTTTTGAACGCATATAATACCATGTCCATGAATTTGGAATTTCTATTTCAAAAACATCATTTCGATTCAATAGGTTAACATTTGGTAATTGTGAGAAATATCCTTAAAAAATAATAAAAAAATGAAAGTATTAATTTTATGATTAATCTAACCTGTTGCTAATCTCATAGCTTTCATAAACCTAGGATCAGTATCACTTGAGAATCCAACAACTCCAAGACTTTTTGAATAACATTGTTCGTAAATATACAACCAACGACAAAGCACTGAAATCGAAGTAAACTGATTATCAGCGCCAAAACTTGATAATAAAAATGGTGGTGAACTTTCACGTGTTATTGGTTGTACTGTATGAATATTGACTGATGTTGACTTTTTCACAGTATCAAACCAGGTTTCTAGTTCAAGGAAATCATCTGTTTGATATTGACGAATTGATGGAATACCATAGTTTAATTCTGGACAAAATCCAATAAATGAATTAGTATCAGCATCATAACAAATTTTGGTAATAATACCACTACAATCTTCAGAAGCATATACATAAGAACAATTAATTTTATTAGTATGATTGATTAATTCGTTAAAACGAAATTCACCTTCTTCAATACGTGTACAGAATTCATTATTATAAGATTCAAGTGTTGGTATAGATGGAAAAGCACCGGGTAAATTTAGTTGCAAAAGTTGGTAAACATTTCGACCACCTAATTTATATACAGCTGATGCAAATCGTCGTATATTAGGATTGTATTGGAAACGATACTTCGAACGATTCATATTATCAGTAAGATTACTAATGAAAGTGTTGGTAAAATAAGTAAGTTCCTTGTTTGTAACATTTAAATCTTGATTATGGTTGTCTGATTTATATAGTAATTGTTCATTTAATTTACTTTTTAAGACAGCTATGCAATAATCAAGATTATCTTTAATAGCTGGACGTATCATATATGCACCATTTGTTAATTGTAAACATGCACGGTTTCTTAAATCTTCTATTTTTTTGCAATCCACTTTAAAAAAAGAGTACAAATCTTGAGCTCGTAACAAAGAAAGAGCATTATTGATTCCTTGAGCTTTTAAAATTTCGACTTCAATTGAACTAGTCAATTCTTCTATAAAATTGAAGAAATTGTTAGATTTAACTTTGCCAATCTCAATTAAACCACTATTATTCATATCTGAAATCATGTTTATATATGATGAATATTAATAAAAAGTAACTGAAAAATTGATTAATAAAAATTCATTGATATAAAATCTAAAACTAATTTTATTTGGTACTTAAATATGAAGTTCTTATAACAATATTAAAGTATTAGTCAAATAACAAAAACTTTTTTGTGAACAATATTCGAACAACTAAACAATTTATCTAATTAAGGGTGTAAGTTTAATCTATATCAGCTTATCAATATTTATTCAAAAATATATTTTTACATAGTTTATATAAATAAATACATGGTATATTCAAAAATTA